GCAGGGAACCTGGACTCATTTTCGGCCCTAAACACGGGAACCCATATTTTGTTTTAGGGTTGATGCCTCCCCGAGACGCATCCCTTCCCAGATTTTTTTTGTCAGGTAAAGGGATATTTTTTCCAGTGGCTTGCGAAATTTATGACACGTGGGTGAATGTGGGACCGAGTTCTGTTTTGTTGCCATAATGTTCCTGTCGGAGTGGCGGAGGGGCGGAAAGTGCCCGCAACTAGCACTGTAGTCCCCTTGAAAGCGCAGGGTCGCTAGTAGTACCCCTGCGAAAGCTACTTACCCCATCGTATTCACTGCAGAGGCCAGCCAGAGACAGCACCGCCGCGAATAGGGTGGCGGTGGAATGGTTGAGTTTTGGAGGGCTGAGGACGCGGCACATGTTTTCATTTCGCCAGGATCGGGTGGTTCGGGGCCTCACATCGATCGTGGCACATCGATCGGCACACCGATGTGCCCACACTGCAAATTTGCAGTGGGGTAGACACATCGAGCTATAGGTGCCAGGATCGAAATTGCAGGGTCGGGCAGGTTGGAGCTGCGTCGGAATACACCAACACAATGCAACGCGCAGCCAATCAGGGCAGAGCGTAGCTAGTCGCCCAGCAATTTCATTCGCAACGACTCGAGAATTTTTGGCCTGCGACCGTGGACGACGCCGATCGATCGCGGCTGTCACATGTGGCGCGATGTGCTCTCCCGCCAACCCAAATGCACGGTTGATGTGTGCACCACAGCACATCGATCGTGCGAGCTGCAGGTGCCACCATTTTGGGTACCAGTTTACTGTACATTTTCGACGTCATGCGATATACAGATACCAGGCATTGACGACGTCGCCAATTCACTGTACAAGCGGCACATCGATCCCCTCCCGCGATCGATCCTGGCAAATGCCAAACAGGTGCCGCGTCCTGAGGTTGCCAAGCGCGAAAGCAGGGAGTTTTTTGGCGGGAGGATGGTGAGAGAAAATCCTCCATTGGAGATGACTTGAACCAATGACGAGAGTGAGATCTGAACCCATGCCCTTTCGTACTGGAACTTTTGTCGGGGTGGGATTTGAACCCACGCTTTGCAAATGTGACAGCCTGCGACATTTTTCAAATCACGTCGCTGGGTGTGGGTTCAACCCCCGTACCTTCCAACCTGCGACATTTGTGAATGTCGTCGCTGAAGTACACGTTCCAACCTGGCGACTCTTGTCGAATGACGTCGCTGGGTGTGGGTTCAACCCCCGTACCTTCCAACCCTGCGACGTTTGTCAATGACGTCGCTGGGCGTGGGTTCAAATCGCAGCTTTGTCACATCATCAACCCTCGCAGCCTTGTCATTTCACAAACATCATCAACCCTGTTCCTTCCAAGCTCCATTCCAACCCGTCAAATGACGTCGCTGGGCTTTGGTTGACTCCAACGAACAAGAACCCTCCGACTCGGCATTTTCTCTCGCCACCCCGCGCCAACTAACTTCCTAGCTTTGCAACCACAAATCGCCTTTCGCCAAGCTATCTAAATAGCGTCACCGTCCGTTCCGCCGCGTCCCTCTTCGGGGGGCTCTGGCTCAGTCGGGATACTACAGACTGTATACAGTATGTACGATGCATGCCGATGTCTCTTTTTGTAACACCTCGCTACCCACTGGGTCAAAACGAGGGTGTTATTTGGCGCAGCGGAGTGCCCTTAACACAGCCCACAGGCGTTACACTCGTCCCCCCCTGGTGCCAACGTCCCCGTTGGCCCTGGACTTCAGGAAGTCGGCCCCCTGCCGCTGGGACCTAGATTTCGCAGTGCTGCTGGCTGCGACTTCGCTGGTTGCTCAGGCCAGCGGAGGATCGTTCGCTGGGTTCGAGCTGGTTACAACCGCACTTCAGTTCTCGCCAAAGGCGGAAAGTGTGGTCCAGCCGGGATTCGAACCCTAGGCTCTGATACCAAATGTAACACCTCGCTACCCACTGGGTCAAAACGAGGGTGTTATTTGGCGCAGCGGAGTGCCCTTAACACAGCCCACAGGCGTTACACTTTTCGTGTTGTGATTCACGCAGCTGCAGATGCACAGCCACCTACTCGGTTCTAGGTCCTATCCAAGGTCACACAGAAGGTCTCTGTAACCCCATCCCCCATGACGTTCAGCGTTTGACTTTAAAGACTCATCCTCGAGTTGCGAAAAAAAAAAAAAAAAACAAACAAACTCATTCCGTGGCGGAAACGCCAAAACTTTAGGTCTATCGATTTTTCCCGCCCGAAAATGACATCCCTGCTTAAATAATAATCGCCAAACTTTAGGTCTGGAGGCTCCACTGAAAATCGCAGACGGCTGACATTGTTTTTCCCCTACAGTTTCGTCGATTTTAAGTCTTGCGGTTCAAACCAGGTCGATTCTGTCGAAGCTAGGGTTTTGTTTGATACAACTACCTTGAAGCCTGGTTGACGGTGCGACCGACAATATGATGTTGTCAGTGAGAACCGCCTCCCACCCAAGTCTCCGGGCAATCCGAATGGGGTATTTCATGGCTGTGATATCAAGCCAGGGAGTTCGTACTAACCTACTAGGTTCCATTCTCTTTGCTTGGCATTACGGTAGTACAACTACTACTAGACACTCCGTACTACAATGGCCGCAATGTCTGCCAGGCTCAGTCTACCCTCCCGGTCGCGGTTTCTGTCTCTGTTCTGTTGTGTAGCGAAGGGAGCCTCAGTGGTAACTGTCGCCGCCGTCGCCTCGTTAGCGCTGCTGATGCTCTGGCTGTATCATTTCTCCTCCCGTGTGAGCCCAGATGTGCTGGCGGTTCGCGATTACTTAGACTCCTGTGTCGGCGTGGGTGTTGCGTATCGTGGCATTCACACAGGCACTTCTTTTTTCCGCGGAATTGCATGCTCCGATGTGGTGAACGCTGCTGCCGTTCGCGGCAAAGCAGGCTTTGAAAACGGAAACAGAACTCGTTACCAACGCATCATGCAGCAGCAGCAGCAGGGTGGTTATGACAGCGGCAGCAGCAGCAGCAGCAGCAGCAGCAGCAGCAGCTACATCAAGAGCTCCAAAAAAGGCAGTATGAGGGGGAGGAAAGTGGCAGCTGCCGATCCAGGATCATCCAGAATTGTCTCAGATCCAGGCTGGGGGCGTCACAGTGGCGCTACGAGCAGCAGCAATGAGAGAGTGGCAGACGCTGGGGGAAGGGATGGCTGCCGAGTCACATATGACGCCACAGTAGACCCTCGCGACTTAAAGCCAACGTCAGCTTTCACCTACTCCAACTGCAGCATCGAATGGATCACTTTCTCCACCCGGTGTGGGAAAGGCGTTCAACGCTTAGCTAAGTTCTGTGAGATGAACGGGATTCAGCTCGCGGTGCTTGGTTTGAATCATCCCAAAAATGGGGCTGATCGAAACCTACCGTGAAGCTACTTTTTAGTTACTTCTCGGTTGTTGTCCAGGAAACAACTTTCTAGTTACTAGCGAACCTACTGCAGAGTGGCGATGCGAGGTTGGGCTTCTCCGAACGTAAACATACTGGAGAGTTACTTTGTGGCAGGAATGAACTTGTGTGCAGCGAAGTCCCCACGATGGCACACGAAACGCAGTAACTCACCTTTTGCGACTGAAGCGGCTTACACCCATTTGAACACGAAAAGCTGAGTAACATCGCGTTCCCTTAGCTGTGACTTTTTGACTGGCTGGGAAGTCATGTTTGCACTGGGTTGCGTCGAATGGGCGTATCTCGCGCCAAACACTGTCAGAGAGTTCGTCTTGTTCATCATTTTTCAAGTCTACGACACCTGTCAAGCATCTACCGAACAGGTCAGACAACAAGACCGAACTGTTGGTTTACACGTTTCAGCATGAAGCACAAGGCAAATGCACGCCTGTGCAACACGTCGCAATCATTTTCTTGGGGTCTGCTGACGTGTGCATCTAGTGCATCCCCAAGTGTCGCTATATTATTGTCTCACGAAATTGTGTGTTACAGTTACGATGTTGTTGATAGGGTAACTTGTATTTAGCGAGATAATTTATGTGTACATTATAGTTTTTTTTTCTGGTTCTGTATATGCATATAATATTATTTAATCCTGCATTAATAGTACGATTATTTATTGCAATTACTAATTGACAGGGTTATTGAACAAATTACTACGACACACAGACTACGACGCAAACACAGCTGCAAACACGACATCATACGCTTGCTCAAAAGGTGAGGCTTAGGGACCTTGCAACCCAGGCAACCCTGCGCATGAGATAAACACCCTCTCGGTGGTTGCATGGAATTTCCATGCAGCCTTATCAGCCTCCCACCACGGGCCCGTAGCTGCGGTCCTATTCTGAACGGCGAACGCGACGGCATTGTGGACTTTCGAATGTTGAATCGTCAATGCGTTTCGATTGTGAACCGGGCTTCGCGGCATTTCTTCACCATTGATCAACTTGTATTCGACCTGCAACGAGCAATGGGTTGGGGTGTGTTTAACGTATGTCAAAAACCAGCATCGCGATACTGCAACTAGACAAAACACCGTGTTAACACAACCACCCAATGGCTCAACATACCCCCAGCAGAAAAAAAGCAAGTTGCTTGAATCGGAGCACCACAAAGGAGTGCCCCGGCCTCTGAAACGAGTGGAATACTGCAGCTGTGAAGAAGTCCGTTGAGAAGGACAGCCCATCGTCATTGAAGTGCCACTTCAGCAAGCCCCATGAATTCGCATCTACTCAACAGTGGGGGTGATAATGGGGGGAGAAAAGACGCGTTGGTGGATGCTATATATTGAGTGGGTGGGGGCAGGTGTTCTGAGCGGAGAAATGACTGTGAGAGGCGCTGCATAAACACGCAGAGATGGCTGGCACTGCAGTGGCGTTAAACGTGTGCCTGCTGGAAGTGGACAAGCTAGATGCACTACAGTAGGGTGGGGGGAAGGGGCAGGGTTAGTAGGAGGCACTAGGGTTTAGCAGTGAAACACACATGTGGTGACAGGTGCACTACAGTAGGGTTTAGTTCAGGTGTGCCTGCTGGAATGGGAAGGTGGGGGCACAAGGGAGGGAGGGGCTGGTTGTAATGAGACACCAGGGCCTTGTGAATCACGCAAGGTGCCCTCCAGCGTCTGCCCTCTGTTGCGCCTGCTGGAATGGGAAGGTGGGGGCACAAGGGAGGGAGGGGCTGGTTGTAATGAGACACCAGGGCCTTGTGAATCACGCAAGGTGCCCTCCAGCGTCTGCCCTCTGTTGCGCCTGCTGGAATGGGAAGGTGGGGGCACAAGGGAGGGAGGGGCTGGTTCTAAGGAGACACCAGGGCCTTGTGAATCACGCAAGGTGCCCTCCAGCGTCTGCCCTCTGTTGCGCCTGCTGGAATGGGAAGGTGGGGGCACAAGGGAGGGAGGGGCTGGTTCTAACGAGACACCAGGGCCTTGTGAATCACGTGCCCTCCAGCGTCTGCCCTCTGTTGCGCCTGCTGGAATGGGAAGGTGGGGGCACAAGGGAGGGAGGGGCTGGTTCTAAGGAGACACCAGGGCCTTGTGAATCACGCAAGGTGCCCTCCAGCGTCTGCCCTCTGTTGCGCCTGCTGGAATGGGAAGGTGGGGGCACAAGGGAGGGAGGGGCTGGTTCTAATGAGACACCAGGGCCTTGTGAATCACGCAAGGTGCCCTCCAGCGTCTGCCCTCTGTTGCGCCTGCTGGAATGGGAAGGTGGGGGCACAAGGGAGGGAGGGGCTGGTTCTAATGAGACACCAGGGCCTTGTGAATCACGCAAGGTGCCCTCCAGCGTCTGCCCTCTGTTGCGCCTGCTGGAATGGGAAGGTGGGGGCACAAGGGAGGGAGGGGCTGGTTCTAAGGAGACACCAGGGCCTTGTGAATCACGCAAGGTGCCCTCCAGCGTCTGCCCTCTGTTGCGCCTGCTGGAATGGGAAGGTGGGGGCACAAGGGAGGGAGGGGCTGGTTCTAATGAGACACCAGGGCCTTGTGAATCACGCAAGGTGCCCTCCAGCGTCTGCCCTCTGTTGCGCCTGCTGGAATGGGAAGGTGGGGGCACAAGGGAGGGAGGGGCTGGTTCTAATGAGACACCAGGGCCTTGTGAATCACGCAAGGTGCCCTCCAGCGTCTGCCCTCTGTTGCGCCTGCTGGAATGGGAAGGTGGGGGCACAAGGGAGGGAGGGGCTGGTTCTAAGGAGACACCAGGGCCTTGTGAATCACGCAAGGTGCCCTCCAGCGTCTGCCCTCTGTTGCGCCTGCTGGAATGGGAAGGTGGGGGCACAAGGGAGGGAGGGGCTGGTTCTAATGAGACACCAGGGCCTTGTGAATCACGCAAGGTGCCCTCCAGCGTCTGCCCTCTGTTGCGCCTGCTGGAATGGGAAGGTGGGGGCACAAGGGAGGGAGGGGCTGGTTCTAATGAGACACCAGGGCCTTGTGAATCACGCAAGGTGCCCTCCAGCGTCTGCCCTCTGTTGCGCCTGCTGGAATGGGAAGGTGGGGGCACAAGGGAGGGAGGGGCTGGTTAGAACGAGCCACACGGCCCACACTTTGAAGCCCACAGGGAGTGCAGGTGCCCTACAGTTTGACTGCAGGTGCACATGCTGGGTCGGAAAGGTGGGGACACAAGGGAGGGTGCGGCTGGTTATAAACGAGGCACATGGCCCACACTTTGGAACCCACAGGGAGGGCAGGTGCATGGGTGTTTGCCCTCAGGTGCGCCTGCAGGGTGGGGAAGGTGGGGACACAAGGGAGGGTGCTGCTGGTTAGAATGAGGCACATGGCCCACAATGTGAAACCCGCTAAAATGGCAACTGCAGGGGGTTTTTGCCCTCAGGTGCGCCTGCTGGGTGGGGAAGGTGGGGACACAAGGGACGGAGCGGCTGGTTAGACCGAGGCACACGGCCCGCACTTTAAAACCCACAGATATGGCAGGTGCGCTGCACTTGGCCAGCATGTGTGCCTGCTGGAAAGGGAAGGGGGGGGCACAAGGAGTGAGGGCTTGGTGAGAACGAGGCACACGGGTCTGTATGGTCCCGCATCGATGGCAGGTGCACTGCATTGGCAAAAAAGGGGGTGAGCCTGGTGTGGGGGTTAAGAAAGAAGGCGTGGGTGGGGCTTCGTCTTACCAGCTCGATGTTCGGCACAAAATGCTGCAGGGTTCCGACCACTTCCCTCCCGCGATCCGGTCGAGCAATGCGGATGTTGAAGCTCTCGTACAGCATCACACGGCCCATTGTGTGGACCTTGTTGCGGGCATCCTGCTGCTGTTTTCGGAGGTGGGACGGGCGCGTTCTCTCGTTCTCCATGACCAGCCGCATAGTCGGCGTCGGTGATTCCGATAGCGGTGCAAAGTGCAGTGATGTTTGTGTCCCGCGGCGTCCAATACTCAAGGTCGACGTCGGGCGTCTCGAAGTACATGATCTCCACCGCACGTTTCGCCGCTCCCTGACAATGGAGCAAGGGGAGTTTTCAGTGGAAGGGGGGATAGATGAAAGGGAGGGGAGTGAAGGGCGGTGGCGGGGAAGGGGTTGGGGGAGGCGGAAGCTTAGGATGAGGGGGCGGATTGGGCTACGTGCGAGGTGAACAAGCGCAAGGGAAGGCGCACATGCACTCCACTCATGAAACTGGATGTTTCCATGCAAACTTAGAGAGTCCACGTGAACCACCTTCACAACAAGCATGCACCCAAACCCAACGGACCTTAAACCCGTTGTGAATATCGGGGACGCCTGCCAAGGCGGCGGCGTAGTGGTGAGCCCACGTCAGCTGCATGCTTGACAGCTGTTGCAAGTCCAATATGACGCCTCGCTTGTGCGCCAGCTTCACCGCGTTTTGGATTGCATTTCGGTTCGGCTCCACACGAATGACGCTGGGAACCGGTGGCAGCATAGTAGCAGCTGCCACGCCGTTGTTGCGCGTTGCGTTCCCACCCGCACCTGCCTGCCCGCCCCCATCCGGCGACGCATCCTCGGCTTGGCCAATGTCGGGGGAGTTTGCCGGGTTGCTGGTGCCTTCTCCTCCATTGTTTGTCGGTGAGTTCGCCGCAGCCCGCTGCATGTTGCGACGCTCGTTCTCGTATTCCATAAGGCGGCGGCGGAACTCACGGTTCTCCCTTTGCGTGTCCTCAAATTCGGCCCGTGTAACATTGTCGATGATCTCGTTCCCCTCCTCTGCATCGGGATCCGCAGGTTGGTCATATTCCTCTTGGTCTTCGTCATCACTTAGCTCATAGCCCGTGAAACGCCGTGATGAGTTTGGCTGCTGCTGTACATGGCCATTCAGTGGGAAGGGAAGCGCTGATGAAGCCTGCTGCTGACACAGAGGCGCCGTGGTCTGCTGCTGATGCAGAGGCGCCGTGGTCTGCTGCTGATGCAGAGGCGACGTGGTCTGCTGCTGATGCAGAGGCGACGTGGTCTGCTGCTGATGCAGAGGCGACGTGGTCTGCTGCTGATGCAGAGGCGACGTGGTCTGCTGCTGATGCAGAGGCGCCGTGGGCTGCTGCTGATGCAGAGGCGATGTGGGCTGCTGCTGATGCAGAGGCGACGTGGGCTGCTGCTGATGCAGAGGCGACGTGGGCTGCTGCTGATGCAGAGGCGACGTGGGCTGCTGCTGATGCAAAGGCGCCGTGGGCTGCTGCTGATTCTCAAACGCCGTGGGCTGCTGCTGATTCTCTGTCGACGTGGTCTGCTGCTGATGCAAAGGCGACGTGGGCTGCTGCTGATGCAGAGGCGACGTGGGCTGCTGCTGATGCAGAGGCGACGTGGGCTGCTGCTGATGCATTGGCGAGATGGGCTGCTGCTGATGCTGCACACGCGCGTGATGCTGCTGCCCATTGGTTTCCAGGTGCAGCGGTGCATACGGCTGCTGCTGGTGCAGGGGTGCAGACGGGGACTGCTGAAGGAGTGGTGCAGGCGGCTCCTGCTGATGCAGCGTTGTTGACGGCTGCTGCTGATGCAGCGTTGCTGACTGCTGCTGTTGATGCAGCGTTGCTGACTGCTGCTGCAGATGCAGCGTTGCTGACTGCTGCTGCAGATGCAGCGTTGCTGACGGCTGCTGCTGATGCAGCGTTGCTGACTGCTGCTGTTGATGCAGCGTTGCTGACTGCTGCTGCTGATGCAGCAGTGCTGACGGATGCTGCTGAGGCAGGGGCGAGGTGGGCTGCTGCGCGTGATGGGAAAGAGACGACGTTTCGTGCTGTTGCAGCCCATTGGCATGCTGATGCATGGATGAGGGCGGTTGCTGCAGATGCTGGCGATCACCAGGCAAAGAAGATCCAGAGGTTAGCTGATGCTGCAGCCCATTGGCTTGCTGAGACAGGAAGGTCGTGGGGTGCTGCTGATGCTGGCCGTGTGTCTCCACGTGCTGCATAGCTACACCGACTGGTCTGGCACCAGGCGGCACACTAGCGCGCCTCCCACCACTGCGGCGGCCGACACCGGTCCGAGCAGAGTTTGATGTTGTCGAAGCGGGCAGTTGTGTCGATCCCAGTAGCGAAGTGATAGACACCATCCGTTCGCCTGCACAAAATGCATCACGAATAGTGTCAGAAGCGGAACAAGGGCTGAAGGACAGGCACATCAAGGGCTGCAACCGTGAAATGCAAGCCTCAAACTAATCACGATACGCAAATGGCAGGCTCACCTGCGGTGGGCGTCGTGGAAGCAGCTGCACCTGCCGAAATTCCAGCAGAGGGTTGACCTAGGACACGGACTGATTCCAGTGCTGCTGCGAACCTGCTGTGCTGTCCTTTAGTGGGTCGACCTGAGCGTCGTGGTCCTGAGGATGCCATTGTAGAGGAAAATCAACTTTGGTCAGTCTGGAAAACTTACTGAAAGTATGTTTCCCCATTCTATTTATAGGGAAAGCCTCGTAGCTTAAGCACGAGATCAGCATAAGCTCAGCTAGCAGAGCCTCGGGATTAACAAGAGGCTCCGTGATCAATGGCGCCATGGTTCAGAGAGGTGTAGAGTGGCGACGGCCATCTCTGATTCAAAATTCGAAAGTTTAAGAAAGGAGGCTCACGTAACTGCTCCACGGTCGTGTCTATGGTGTCGCGCGCGAGGTACGTTAGCAGGAGCGTGACTCAACCGAGACAGACGATGGCATTGCTGAGTTGGCCCCGAACAACACTGGACCTGGGACTCGTTGGTGTGGGGAAGCTAGGGTTTCACGCATTTGGTTGCCATTGGCTGGCAAGCGCGGTTCCTACATGGGGTTGTTTGGCAAGTCCACACAAACGGTGTGGGTTAGGTACATGTCGAGCCGCTAACAAACCTGTACAACTTCGACCTCACTAGAAGCGCGAAAATCGAGAAGTAAAAAAATGGCATGCTTAAAGTGATCTCTTAAAACAAAATCAAATCTCAATGTTGCCATAATGGTAGCCACAAATTTGCCTAAGAGTTGCAAGTGGTATGATTGGGATGTGGATGTTAACGGTAGACCGGGTGAGGTGTTCAGAAGAGATCACGAATGCGAATGGTCGAAGTGACGAGAACGGTATGAGGGCATCTGGACCGCCGAAACGGCGGACAACTTCGTGTCGATGTTACATTCAAGCACCATTTACTCACCGTGCCATGCAGAACTCCCAATATCCTGGACGTAGGCATTGGTTTGGGCTTAGTCGCACAACTATGCAGCACCTGACGCTTGCTTGTGCGTCGGATGGCTAGAAACTGTGCAAGGCCTGGCTGATACACAACATGTTACCGTTTCAACGTATGGTTGTTGTTTTTAGCCCCCTTTCTTCACAGACCCACTGAGTTCAAACAATTCCCTCGCCATAGGAACTGGTTTGGGCTCTTTCGCACAACTACGCAGCACGTGACGCTTGTTTGTGCGTCGGGTGGCTAGAAACTGTGCAATGACTGGCTGGTACGCAACATGTTACCGATTCGTCGCTTGGTTGTTTTTTGTAGCCTTATTTCTTCACATATTCGGTGAGTTAACTCAATTCCCTTGCCATAGGAACTGGTTTGGGCTCTTTCACACAATTACGCAGCACGTGACGCTTGTTCATGCGTCGGATGGCTAGAAACTGTGCAAGGACTGGCTGGTACGCAACATGTTACCGTTCCGTCGTTTGGTTGTTTTTTTTAGCCCCATTTCTTCACAGATTCAGTGAGTTCACTCAATTCCCTTGCCATAGGAACTGGTTTGGGCTCTTTCGCACAATTACGCAGCACGTGACGCTTGTTTGTGCGTCGGATGGCTAGAAACTGTGCAAGGACTGGCTGGTACGCAACATGTTGCCGTTTCGTCGCTTGGTCGTTGTTTTCTAGCCCCATTTATTCACAGACACAGTGAGTTCACTGAATTCCCTTGCCATAGGAACTGGTTTGGGCTCTTTCGCACAATACGCAGCACGTGACGCTTGTTTGTGCGTCGGATGGCTAGAAACTGTGCAAGGACTGGCTGGTACGCAACATGTTACCGTTCCGTCATTTGGTTGTTTTTTTTAGCCCCATTTCTTCACAGATTCAATGAGTTCACTCAATTCCCTTGCCATAGGAACTGGTTTGGGCTCTTTCGCACAATTACGCAGCACGTGACGCTTGTTTGTGCGTCGGATGGCTAGAAACTGTGCAAGGACTGGCTGGTACGCAACATGTTGCCGTTTCGTCGCTTGGTCGTTGTTTTCTAGCCCCATTTCTTCACAGACACAGTGAGTTCACTGAATTCCCTTGCCATAGGAACTGGTTTGGGCTCTTTCGCACAATACGCAGCACGTGACGCTTGTTTGTGCGTCGGATGGCTAGAAACTGTGCAAGGACTGGCTGGTACGCAACATGTTACCGTTTCGTCGCTTGGTTGTGTTTTGTAGCCCCATTTCTTCACAGATTCAGTGAGTTCACTCAATTCCCTTGCCATAGGAACTGGTTTGGGCTCTTTCGCACAATTACGCAGCACGTGACGCTTGTTCATGAGTCGGATGGCTAGAAACTGTGCAAGTACTGGCTGGTACGCAACATGTTGCCGTTTCGTCGTTTGGTTGTTGTTTTTAGCCCCATTTCTTCACAGATTCAGTGAGGGCACTCAATTCCCTTGCCATAGGAACTGGTTTGGGCTCTTTCGCACAACTACGCAGCACGTGACGCTTGTTCATGCGTCGGATGGCTAGAAACTGTGCAAGTACTGGCTGGTACACAACATGTTACCGTTTCGACGTTTGGTTGTTGTTTTTAGCCCCATTTCTTCACAGATTCAGTGAGATCACTCAATTACCTTGCCATAGGAACTGGTTTGGGCTCTTTCGCACAATTACGCAGCACGTGACGCTTGTTCATGTGTCGGATGGCTAGAAACTGTGCAAGGACTGGCTGGTACGCAACATGTTACTGTTTCGTCATTTGGTTGTGTTTTGTAGCCCCATTTCTTCACAGATTCAGTGAGTTCACTCAATTCCCTTGCCATAGGAACTGGTTTGGGCTCTTTCGCACAACTATGCAGCACGTGACGCTTGTTCATGTGTCGGATGGCTAGAAACTGTGCAAGCACTGGCTGGTACGCAACATGTTACCGTTTCGTCGCTTGGTTGTGTTTTGTAGCCCCATTTCTTCACAGATTCAATGAGTTCACTCAATTCCCTTGCCATAGGATCTGGTTTGGGCTCTTTCGCACAACTACGCAGCACGTGACGCTTGTTTGTGCGTCGGATGGCTAGAAACTGTGCAAGGACTGGCTGGTACGCAACATGTTGCCGTTTCGTCGCTTGGTTGTTTTTTTTAGCCCCATTTCTTCGCAGATTCAGTGAGTTAACTCAATTCCCTTGCCATAGGAACTGGTTTGGGCTCTTTCGCACAACCACGAACCACACTTTCATTAGATTTGCATGTCACAACTGTTATTAATTGAACAATAAAGTTAGTGTATGTTATGTATAAGAGAGGCATCCCAATAGATACCTTTCTTGCCACCACCTAGAGGACAATGCTGCAGGTGTCAGCACTTATTGGTTGCAGTGTGCACAAGGGACTCTGCATTTAATACTTGGCATGTGATGGCATGTGATGGCATGAGGTGACATGTGGTGCTAACCAATAGGAAACCACACATGTGGGCAACAATCAAATTGGTACCTTCTAGATGCACAAGTGTCTTATTCTTGCCACCCTGTTTGCTGTATGGCACCAAATCTATTGTTGAAGGAATGAGCACAATCCATGAACAGTTGTCCAGATTTAAATTGGGATCAAGAAGGTTAGCACAAGCTGCCAATGTGAATTTGCTGGTGAGTGCATCAAACAGGCCATCCAGGTGGACATTGCTGCTGGGCCAGACATGGTGTGGATATGGATGAAAGTAGCCAGCTGCTGCACTGCTAGGACGTTTCTATAGAAGTTGCCTTGCTTACTAACCCTTCCACTGTTTCACCATACTGCCACCATGATGTTAGTGATGTCACAACCACAGTTGTCAAGCATTTAGCATTGTCAGCAACATCCACTCTGGAAAGAACTAACCAACATTGATAAAGACAACTTGAAAATGGACCGTCTTCCCACCGTTTTGGGAACTGCTTCCAAAGTGTGGTTGATGGACAAGCCCGACCACTGGTTCAAGTGGCCTGGGCGCACTGTTGGTAAAGCTGTCTGCTGCTAGGTGGCTGTTTCTGGTGTTTAGGACCAGACATTTTGACCATTGTCTGATTCTTGCACCTACATTCTGAACCACTGAAGAGCTGTCTCACGGGCGGCGTACTCCTGGCCTCTGCCAGCGCCCACCCCAGACGGACTCTCGTCGACTGCTACCCAGACTCCCTCCGCCTTACCTTCTCACGTCCTCTCCTTCTGAGAAGCTAACTTTGCTGATCTAGAACTGCTTGACTATACTCCATACACATCGTGATACTCCAGCTTACACCTTGCGTTGCATCGTGACGCCTATACGCTCGTGGTCAACGATTGTGGTGAGCAATCCCTTTCCAATACCCCTTAGTTCACCATCTCGTTACGCCGTGCGTTACTCGCTCGTCTACTTTCCCACCCACTTTCCCGCCATCTTGAGCCTCTTTTAAACCTACATTCCATTCGTATGTCCGCATCGCATTTAGAGAACCCTCCTCGTAACCCTAACTTCTTGATTGTCCTGCAGGAGAACTCACAAGCGACGCGGCCCTCGTTGTGATCACGCCCATCGTCTCTTGGGCCAAGCGTAGGTACCGTTGTGTCCCGTTTGTTCAGAGTGGCGAAACCCAGTGGCTCGTCGCAAGTGGCGTGCGCCGGTATCCGCTGGCGTGGGGCACGGTGAGTGACCCGGCGGTTGCGGGCGTGTCGCGTGTGGTGTTTGCCGGAATCCGCAGGCGGCACACGTGGGGCGTGAGGACGGAATCCGCAGGCGTGTCGCACCGTGGGAGCTCCTGAATCCGCCGGCGTTTCGCGCGAAGTGAGATCCGGAATCTGCTCGCGTGTCGCACGGCGGGAGCTTTGGATTCAGCAAGCGTTTCGCGTGGTGGGAGCTCTGGAATCCGCAGGCATGTCGCTCTGTGGGTGCTTCGGATTCAGCAGCTCTCATCGCGCGGTGTGAGATCCGAGATACACAGGCGTGTCGCTCGGTGCGTATTCCCGCCGTGGGCCGTCCTCTCCCCTCTCATCCTGCCCTCCTATCCTCCCCTGACGTCCTATCCTCTCACATCCTGCCCTCCTCCCATCTCGCATGCTGTATCCATCCATGCCCATCTTGCCCTCCTATCCTCGCTCATAGTCATTCAGATCCAACCCCACACTGCCCTCCTCTCCCATCCCTTCCTTCTCTCATCACCTCTCCCATCCCGTTCTCCCCTCTTCTCCCTTCCTGATCTCCTCTCCTCTCACATCCTGCCCTACCCTCCTCCCATCGTGCCCTCTTCTCCTCTCTCGCGCTGCTCTGCTCTCATCTCCCGTCCTGCCCTCCGCTGCTCTCCCATGCTGCCCGCTTGTGGTGCAATCCCGCTCTCTCCTCAGTCCAGGTTGTGCCCCATTTTTAGCTCCACGGGTTCTCGTCGGCGTGGCGTGTTGCAGCGACATCTTGAGCTCCTGTGTCCGCATGAGTGTGGCTCGTTGTGGAAACTCGCACGGACAGGGGGCTCATGCACGGTCGGGTCGCACAAGCGAGTGTGTAGCAACTGCATGAGCGGTCCAGATATCATGAAGACAGTTTGAAAGTGCGTTTCCCATCCTGCTCTCCTCTCTTCTCCTGTCCTTCACTCCTCTCTGCTCCTCCTCAACTATCCTCTCTTCCCATCCTGCTCTCTCTTTTTCTCATCTTCTGCTCTCCTCTCCGCTCCTCTTCAGCTATCCCCTTCTCCCATCCTGCTCTCCTCTCCTCTCCCATCCCGCTCTCCTCTAGTCTCCTCTCCTGCTCCTCTCTCCTCGCCTCTCTTGCTCTCCTATCCTCTCCTCTCCAATCCTGCGTTCGCCTCTCTCATCCTGCTCGAAATTTGCCGTCCTGCTCTCCTCACCCATCCCGCTCTCCTCTCCTCTCCCATCCTGCTCTCCTCTAGTCTCCTCTCGTGCTCCACTCTCCTCTCCTGCTCCCCTCTCCTCTCCTGCTCCCCTCTCCTCTCCTGCTCTCCTCTCCTCTCCTGCTCTCCTCTCCTCTCCTGCTCTCCTCTCCTCTCCTGCTCTCCTCTCCTCTCCTGCTCTCCTCTCCTGCTCTCCTCTCCTCTCCTGCTCTCATATCCTCTCCCATGCTGCCCGTCTGTCCAATCCTGCTATCTTCGCAATCCGCAGGCGCGTCGCACGGTGGGAGCTACGGAATCCGCAGGCGCGTCGCACGGTGGGAGCTACGGAATCCGCAGGCGCGTCGCACGGTGGGAGCTACGGAATCCGCAACCGTGTCGCACGGTGCGTGTGAAGAATCCTAATCGAAATCTGCATGGGTTTCTTTCGCTTCTATCTCCTCCCTGTCCTCTTCATCCCTCCATGCCTTCATCTCATCTCCCTCACTGCCTTCCTCTCCTCTCCCTCACTGCCTTCCTCTCCTCTCACTTACTGCCTTCCTATCCTATCCCTTCATGCCTTCATCTCCTCTCCCTTCCTGTCCTCCCCTCTCATCTCCCTTTCTGTCCTCCTCTCCCCTCTCCCTTTTTGTCCCCCCCTCTCCTCCCTCAATGTCCACACCTCTCCTCTCCCGCTCCGTCCTCCACTGCTCGCTTCTCCACCCATATTTGCAGGCGTGTCGCGCGGTGGGATCTCCGGAAACAGTAGGCGCGCGCAACAGTGTGGGTTCCGGAATCCGCATGCCAACCTCCCGCGGTGCGTACGCGGAAATCTCGCTTCCCCTTCCCCTTCCTCTTCCTCTCCCTGCCTTCCTCTCCTCTCGCTTCCTGCCATCATCCCCTCTCCCGTCCTGCCTTCATCTCCTCTCCCGTGCTGCCATCATCTCCTCTCCCGTGCTGCCATCATCTCCTCTCCCGTCCTGCCTTCATCTCCTCTCCCGTGCTGCCATCATCTCCTCTTCCGGCCTGCCTTCATCTCCTCTCCCTTCCTGCCTCCCTCTCCCCTCTCTTTCTGTCCTCCCTTCTCCCCTCTCTTTCTGTCCTCTCTCTTTTCCCGTGCGGCCTTCCCGCTCCTCTCCCTTTCTGCCTTCCCCTCCGCTCTTCTACGCTATTACTTCCTGTACATTCATGCAGAAAAACGCGTTCTTCGCACCGGTGACATAGCACGGGCGTTTCAAGGGAGGTGGTGACGGCAGTTCGGATCCAAATCGGCCAGCGATCTTCACCTGCCATCGTGTGGGCCCGAATCCGGGAGGAAATCTCAGAGCCGAAAGGCCTGACTTTGGGGCGCGCCGCACTCCCTCAGTAACGAACTTTGAAGGAGTGCGACCTTGTTGTGCGCTTAAGGTAACCTTATTCGCCAGTTTAGTTGTTGATTTCCAGTCACGGGACAGGTGCACATACACGGTCTGGGATCACATGCATGACTGGGTGACACCTGAACGGTTGGGGTTTGCTTTGCCGTGAATGATGAATCTCACATATCCGCGACCTCCGTTTCCCTACTACGTTTCCATCTGCGATGCACCTCCCCTTTCGTATCATATGTTAGGGTTGTTTACTTCTCTCGTTGAACGCCCTCCGCTCTTCTCTCGTCTAACCCTCCGCTCCTCTCCCGTCCAGCCCTCTGGTTCTCTCCCCAAAGCCTACCCTCCTCTCCTCTCACATCCTGCCCTCCCCTCTGCCCTGCCATCCTCTCCCATCCAGCCCACATATCCTTTCCCGGCCTGCCACTCACTTTGTGTACCGTGCCTCTTAACTCCACACAGGTCTGCTCAACACATGTTGCCTGCTAACTCTTCGGTGCGGCGTCTGCGATACACCGAATGTACGTCAAACCTTGGGCTAGGTTGTGGTGACGGCGTGGGCATGTGCGTTTGGGCTGCGGGTGTCCGGTACTGTCTACCGTTGCCTGATGTGTCATTGAGTATACTTATATGCGTCTCTAATACGTACTAATCCTGGTACATATCACCACAGGGATAATCATGACGATCTGCAGGCCGAACGGGATGAGTTTGGAAGTCATGCAACCGTACCCAGGCCACGGTTGGTGATTGCGGTGGACCTTCCTTGCCTCGGAAGCTACTTCGGGATTGTCTCGGTCCGGCCAGTCTATCTGACACTCGCTAATGTTGCAATTCCCACTCCAACAAGTGTGTGGGCGAGTGTACGTGCATCAATATTACGCCCTATACATGTAATTCTGTGATTCTGTCCATATCTGCATCCTTTTAGCACACTCAAATAGAGCAGGATCAAACCTAAAACCTACGAGATCTGCTTCTATCGCAGGTAGTTTCCAGATTGAACCGTGCCCGACATCCAGGCGTTCATGCTAGGCTTGATGCAAGACATCGTACGCTGTGGGAGCTTGCTGCCGACTTAGAGGTAAGGGTATAGATGAGTCTTTTATCGCACTGTGTATACCATGCTTGACCTGTGGTGGCTATGTTAAACCCTGGGTGACTCTAATCTACATGCTGTTTACCATGTGCAGTTACCCGAACCTCGACATGCTTATCTTCGTATGCCGGCATTGCGGGAAGGGGTTGAAGAGCGAGTTAGGTCTAGTGAATCACCAGAGGAGTAATCAACGGTGTTTAGCGATTCAGGAAGCAAATGCGTTTAGCACTCCAACTAGTCGTGGGATTTTGGTACCACCATTAGAACGTGTAGATTCGACGCCGCCATTTCCATTCGTGTTTGGAGTGCAGGATCCTGTAGTAGATAGGGGTGATGGCTATGATGAGTCGTACGATGATGACACTGACGTCTTTTGTGACGCCGAGGTCGAGTTTGGGGAAGAGGAGGAAGAGCGCCCTATATTCGACACTAAGAAGGAGACGTTTAGGTTTCTGGAGAGTTGCAATAAGGGTACTGGAATGGCCAGTCCTGACGTTAGTTACTTTTTTAGGTTAGTGAAGCAGCCCGGTTTTGATCCAGCACAGCTTGCTGAGTGGACCACAAAAGCAGCAGTAGATAGGTATGGGATAGAGGCATTAGGAGTTTCTAAGCAGCAGTTTAAAACGATCGAAGTAACTGTAAGAGGATGGCCATCATCATTTCATGTCAAGACAGTGGATCTGAAAGAGGTATGGTTATGAACGTTTGGTAGTTAGGCAGGTTCTATCTTTGACTGTATCTGACAGAGGTTTGTTGATTGGCAGGCATTGGAAAGGATGTGGGGGGATAAGCGCAACGCTCCTGGATTCACACATCACGCTAAGAAAAAGATGGTGGATGATATTAGAGTGTATGATGCAGCACACAATGGGGACTATTGGTTGGGTGCTCAGGTAAATACAATGTTAGGGATGTTTTGTTCACTATTTCATTTGCCATCTTAGTGCAGCCTCTTACATTCTCTTACTCCGCCCAATATTACTCCACTACAGAAAGGCCTGGGACCCAAGGAGTGTATCTGTCCACTCATCATTTCGAGCGATGAGACCACGCTGAGTGGTAACGAGCGATGTCGCGCTTGGCCGGTATACCTTACCTTTGCCAATCTTCCTGTTGATACGAGATGGAAGGAGCATGGTCGCACAATGATTGCGCTCCTGCCGCGTCCGGATCCCGAGATGGAAGCCTGGCAAAAAGTGGAGCTGTTCCAGAAGAGTAGTTCTGCAGTGTTTGAAAGCCTCATGCGGTTTTGCAAAACGTATGTGTTATGGTGATATTTGCATATTGTATCCAAATGTAGTTGTGATGCTGAATTATGGCTCTTACTCTTATACGTTTTCCCCATGGGTGTTTGTTTTGGATGTGTAGTTCTCTGCCCTTGACAGATCCTAACGGCAAAGTTTGGACCGTTTGGTTCAAACTGTTCGAGTACATCGCTGATTATCCCGAGACCTGCAAGGTCACATGCACGATGCAACACAACTCGGCGCGCCCTTGCTCGATCTGCTATGTCGAGAAGTCGCAGCTGGATGTCATGGATCCAAACATCATCGAGTACAGGACCGTAGAGCGTCAAATGAAGTACGCCAAGGACGCTAAGCTAGCGAAAGAGTATTCTACGGTTATGATGGACGTAAGTAACATGGCTATTATTACAGCTGTCATGTATAGTTCGCGAAATGACACGCTGATATTGCGCTTGTGCGGCAGTATTATATGACTCGCATGACACTTGAACAAATGTAACCCATAGTTTGTCGGTGTCCTGTATATCAATCCCGCCCTGCAGACCTTTCTGTGGCATTTCGGCAAGCAGAAGGACGCTGAGAAGGATTGGGGAAACCCGTATCAAGTAATCCAACCCGATGTGTTACATGTGATCTTGATCGGGCTTTGGGTGTACATCCTTGAAGCTTTGCTTTTCAAGAACAAAAATGTTAAAACGATGAACGAGTAAGTTTGCAAGTGGTTTCATAAATATGGTGCTTCTCTTTACCCTCTCTTAATGGATTATATACACAATAGTAACTTTGTTTCTACTGTATGGCCACTGGCAGACGTCATCGGGATCTCTACCGGGAGGCGCGATCAGCAGGCATTCCGCTACCCCCCCCTGGACGCTACTTCAGCCTCGGAGCCAACTTCTCAGCATCGGATCATGCAGGAATGTTGCGGGTGAGTATGTTTCCCCTATTAGATCGTAACATTCGTCACACTGTACGTTTAGTTTGACCATTCTACCGTATGTGTGGTATTGTGTAATTCAGGTGGTCGTGTTCATCATGGAAGGACTCATTTCCGGTACGGGAATGTATATTCCGCGTTTCTTTGTGAACTGGTTCGACACCTACTTCAGGGCAACATCCTACACGAAGGCATCGCTGGAGAAATATGTGACTGATACCCAAGAGTAAGTTTTTTGTCCGGCATGTTTTGAATGTGTTGGGAGTTGCCCGATTGGATGTTTATACAGATTGGTTGCTTATACCATTGTAACTCATGCCTTGCCATTTCATTGGCAGATTGATCCGGCTGTTGGTACACAATCTGCCACGCGGGGGAAATGGGTGGAAGCTGGTGAAAGTACATTTGCTGCTGCACTTCCCAGATTCGATTAGGCGAGGCGGTTTGCCTAGGGAGTTCTGCACTAGCCTGTTCGAGCATGCACACACTGCCTCATGTAAACGACCATTTCGAGCATCTAACTTCCGAGAGTATGATGCAGCAATCATGCGCAGCGCGGTGATGCGCAACGCGCTGTCTCTGTTGCCAACTTCTCTGCTGCAGAGCAAGCGTTACGACACCGCCCTCATGAAGGTAATGCACTTCGGATGGTAATGCATCCTGTTTATATCCCACTGGTATCTTGTGTGTCACCCTAATCCAAATCTTGGCATCTTTTTCCCTACATGCAACCCTCTTAAATACCAGGCCATTTCTCTCAAAACACACGTGCTGACGTCCCGACACAACACCATGGTTCTGCCGTGCCGCGAGGGTGGGATTGTGGGAGATGCCTTGTGGGACTCGTTCGTCAACCATCATGGGACGGGAATGCGCTCGCTTCCTGAGTTGCTCAAGAGTCTGCAGCTGCCTGCCCAGTCGGTGGAGGTATGGTTTGTTCTTGAATTGTTTTACTCCTCCAACTCCAACACCACATTCTACACTGTAGTGATTATTTAACAAACGATCGTTTGCCTAATCCTTCCAGGTACATACCTCGATCGCACTACCACCAGGGGACGACTACGAGGCGCATTACGCACGGGCAGCATTGACTTTCCATAACGCACCTTGTTTCTCCTATGTTGCGATTTTGGGGAACGAAAGTGCGCCGCTTGGAGCTGAGGTGATTACAGCGTGGTTCGCACAGCTGATGCTCTTGTTCCATGTGGATTCAGTTGAGGACGGGCGTGCAGTGAAGAAGGCCTATGCAATGGTGCGATACTACGAAGTTGGAGATGTGGACGCGGTCACATCGTGCACAGTGCTGCACGAGTCGCATCGTGACGTACGATATCAGATTGTTGAGGCGCATTCCATCTTGCGCACGCTGCATGTAGTTAGATCGTTTGACCGGCGTAGTTTGTCTTTCATTAATCGATTTGGTGTTCGGGAGTTTTGAATGTGCAAGTACTGCCTTGAACTTGTTTTCCAACTACAGTATTATTTTTAACAAACTGTAGTAACGCATTGCTGCGACTTGAGATTGAACGTAACAAGGTAAACGCACAGGAAGGGTCGCACAAGGTTTTCCTGGGCCCTTGACCTAGTAGTAGAGTGA